TTGATGATTAAGTGGATTACAGGAACCCAGTTTATGAACTCCTTTGTTCCACAAACACAACCCTGTCATTCATTAAGCCAGGTTGAGCCACCAACCAGCAGATCAGCAATCCATCCGGAAGGCTCTTGAGCAATATCTGTGCAAAATTCGCTCTTAAAACAAGGGAAAGGCAGAAGGATTCAAGACCGGCAGATCACTCTCTTCCCTGGCTCGCGGTTAAGCAATAATTGGGGCTGAGTTCCACATAATGTAAAATGGAGTTCCTAAATTCATCGGCACAAGCCCGGGGTAAACAGGGCGGACTTCAGTATGGAAGCTTTATAAATTGCGTCAGGGGGCTTTAAGCCAGCCACGACCCAGAGTGTGTGATTTGATTCAAAGAGGGAAATTGATTGGATTTGATGGGAATTCGAGTTTGAATGGTCCAGTCTGAATTTATTCCATTTTAGCAAGAGGGGGAGCGTCTGCACAAAAATCCAACTAGCTTTGGAATAGTTCAGATTAAATTAGCCATTCAAGCTGAAACTTTATCCAGTCCTGAAATCCAGCTGCCTGGTTATCGAATCCAAACCCTATCCCTTTTCTTATATTCACCGTATGCATGTCTCCAGCAACTTGGTTTGCTAGAAAGAAAGAAAGAAAGAAAAAAAAAAGAAAGAAAGAAAGAAAGAAAGAGGAGAGAGAGAGAGAGAGGAGGAGGAAAGGGAAGGGAAGGAAAGGAAAGGAAGGAAAAGAAAAGGAAAAAGAAGGAAGGAAGGAAGGAAGGAAGGAAGGAAGGAAGGAAGGAAGGAAGGAAGGAAGGAAGGGCGTTGCTTCTTCCTCCTCCTCCCTCCTCATTCCTTTTTCCTTTTGCAACATGACTTTGGATGAGCCCATACATCATTCAGTGACTCTTCTACAGAAAGTAGGAAAAACCCATAGATCCGTGCTGGATCCCACCACAGAGGGGCTCTGAGTGGCATTCCAGGCTCTTTCCAGAGCATCCCCAAAATACATATTATAAATACATGAATGCGCAGCGAGACGGACATCATGCACCCCCACCATCCCTGGCCGTGCCCCCTTGGCGAGGGGGGCTTTCAGCTGAATGCACTGGCCGACAAGGCCAGCGCCTCGACTAAAACGGACACAGAGAGGCACCCCCCCCCCATCCTTTCAGCTGCTGGCTGCCCTCTCCGTTTCTTGCCTTGCAAGGGTAAGTCAGATTTTCCAGAGCTGAAGTTCAGCCCTTTGCAAGCCAGCCGGCGGGTGACGAATGAGTGAGTGTCCGCTGCCTTTTTTTTTTCCACGTTAAGGATCCGGGATCAAGTTGCCGGAGGGAGCAGCTGGGAAGGAAAGATTTCAGCCCAGAGATCAGCAGAGCCAGGACCAAAGTGTAACCATCTCCCCGGAATTAAATTGGTTTTAACTGCAAAATTCCACACAGCCCAGCGATTCAAATTAAATTATATGCATTACAAAGAGATACTATCGTTCGTTGGAAGTTAAAAACGGCACTGAAACATGGGAGTTATGACCGTTTTCACAGTTACGACCTACGATCGCGTGATCCAAATTCAGAAGCTTGGCAGCTGACTTTAGGTAGCTCCCGATCAGAGGCAGTCCTTGACTTATGGCCATTTGTTTAACGACTGTTTGAAGTCACAACAGCAGTGGGGAAAAAGGGACTTGCACTAAGGACTGTTCACTGTTGTGAAAAACGGTCACAAGGCACAAGTCACTTTTTTTAACGGCCACTAAAAGGGCTACCTCTGTTGTACAGCCGTTCTGCTTGCCCATCCTGTCTTCAAGCAATTCTTTTAACCGTATGTTTCCTGCAAGCTCTCCTATTGATTGTTTTTTTTTCAGCCGGGATTCCCAGCTGGAAAGAAGGAGAGGAAAAAGCAACAGGCTACGATAAATCAGTGGCCCTCCAGAATAAATTAACATGGCAAGCAGGGTTGAACAAATTGGAAGAAACCAAAGCAGCGTTAGAAGTTGAACTTCAAGCACACGATATTAAACCTAAAAAAGGAAAGAGACAGAGAGAGGGAGAGAGAAAAGGAGAATTTAATCAAATGGGTATGTCTAACAGAAGGGTGAAGAAATGAGCTGGAATTGGAAGGAGCATAATACAGTCGGGGATTGAGGGAGCTAGAAAACAAGGAGAATCTTTTTAAAACTCTAAAAGCGTCTGGAAGACATTAGGTTAGCTAGGGCCATCTTCCCTGCCTCAGTTTCCTCATCTGCAGAGGATAAAATAGGAATATTCACTTCCCTTAAATCAATTATGTCTCAACCAAGCTGTGTGGACTTCAACTCCCAGAATTCCCCAGCTAGCATGATCTAAGGGAAGTGAAAATGATGGCTATGGAATTCTGGGCATTGAAGTCCACCCATGCTGGTTGGGGAATTCTGGGTGTTGAAGTCCAGAGAGTATAAAGTGACTTTTTTCAATACTTTTTCAAGTATTGAAAAAAAAATCTGCCTTAGATGGACGCCTACAAAATAGTTTGAGAGCACGCATTTTCACATTGCACACACCAAGTAAGCGTGCAGCCAAATCTGACCACAGCATGTCCTGGTTTGTGACAAACCCAGCCTAAAGTTACTTCTTGAAAATCAGAATAGCATTTGGAGCAGCCTATGGACGCTTAGCAAGCGCAGGATTGCAATGGAACCGTTTTTCGAGTTTCTCGCCAAGAGGTGAACCAAAAGGGGACATTACAGGCTCAATTTTGCTTAACCACAGGAAAATTTGGGCTCAACCGTGATTGCAAAATCAAGGACTACCTGTAAGGTGGAACGAGTGGCGAAGAACCTCACTTTGGGCTTTGGGGCTTTTGGTTGCAGAAAAATAGGCTTGACCGCGTCTCTCGCCAAAGGGATCTGTTCCTGTTTCCCTGGGAGGCTCAGCCTGCAGCCAAACCCCAACCAAGATCCGTCCCCAGCAGGTGGGGTCTCCTGGGAGGGACACAGTGCTCGCCCCCCTGGAAATCTGCTGCAAGTCTCGGTCCCGGAAGGGTTTGCTTCCAGCCTCATTTTGGGGAGGCTGGCGGTAATAATTACATGCCCTGGGAACGTGGGCTCCGAAGCTTGGCTGACCTACGGCTGCAGAGTTCCTCCGATCGATGGGGAAGAAGCACATTCGTTTCCCTCCAGCGTTCCTTTGACGGATGGAAAAATCAATGGCCGGCAGAAGAGAGAGAAAGTGGAGGGGAAGAGGGAAGGGAAGGAGAAAGGGGGGAGGGAGGAGAAAAGAGGAGGGGGGAAGAAAGAGAACTGAAGGAGAGTCAGAAGGTCTGGAAGGGGAAGGAGGTAGGGGGCACCCAGGGGTGGTGAGGGGGGAGCCCTTCCTCTGGGTCTGGAGACTCGGGGTTACTGGACCTATTTTCCACAGGGACAACCAGGAATTTGAAATTGGCTAGAATAACTAGAGGACCAGTTTGGTGGAGCCAGTAAGGTACCCAGTCCTGCCATAGGCACAGAGTGCCAACTGGGTAGGTGACAGAAAGATGAGATGAGAGACAGAGAAATGAGAGAGACAGACAGACAGATGACACGTGCGCGCATACCCACACCCACATACACATATATATGTATGTGACTTTGCTTGTCAGAAGATCACGTGACCCCAGGACGCTACAACCGTCATAAATATGAGTCAGTTCTGGGCGATGCCCTCTCTTATCTGACAGTCCGCTAAAGCTGCATTAATAGCATCTTTCACCTCTGAAAGTACAAGTCTCCCCACCTCTCTTTTATAGCCCCAGAGACCCCGGAGGGTCCTTCTCTGGGCTGAACTGCCTCTTCTCCGATCATTGTCTACTCTGCAGCTCTGCCTCCTGTCTCCCAAGATCCCTGCCGCATCCCTTTACAATGTCTTTCAGTTATCATGTGCACCTGGGGCCCATACTCTATCACCCAGCATCCTGCACAAGGTATTTTTTTTTCACACCCTGTCCTCTCTCTCTCTCTCTCTCTTCCATTTTTGAATAACCGATTGCTTTTTTTTCCCTTCCTTCCTCTCTCTCTCTCTCTCTCTTCCCCAGCTTCCAGCGCCTGCTTTGCATGCATGGTTTCTCCCCGTCATACAAGACAATAAATTTGCCCTGATAAGCTGGCTCTACCGCTGTAAATTTTCCTGCAAAAGGAGGAGGAGAGGGTAAGAAAAGAGAGAAAGAGGCAGCGGGGTTTTGAGCATCCCTAGTAAAGCTACAGCTTCTGATCAATGGCTTGAGGCGGGGTGCAGATTATTTTCATCCCGACTCTAAAAACAGACTAGCTTTTCTCAATTCTCCAATAGGTCGGGACTCCTGCTCCCATCATCCCCAGCCAGTTAGCTATGTCCCTGATTGTCTGGGCGTGCAATGAGGAGAATTCCCCAAATTGTAGGCTGTAAAAAGAAGAGCAGGGTGTCCGGCAGGAAAAGGCGTAATGTCCTCTGCAACTTATTCCCTTGGTCAAAACAAGAGAGGAGTCTTCTAGGGTGGTGTTGAAGTTTTGGGGTGACTGCTTTTACCCACAATGCCCTAGGAGGATGGAGGTTCCAGGCATTGCATTGTGGGAAAATCCAACTGGGCATTTTCCAGTAGCCACAGGTCTCTAGAGACCCTTTTGCTTGGACCCTTTTTTCAGTTAGAAAAGAAAGGGTAAGGAAATGAGAAGGGACAGGGGAGAGAGGAAGCCAGGGGGGAGGGGAGGCAAAGGGAGAGGGGAGGGGGTAGAGAAGGAAGGAAGGAAGGAAGGAAGGAAGGAAGGAAGGAAGGAAGGAAGGAAGGAAGGAAGGAAGGAAGGGAGGGAGGGAGGGAGGGAGATGGGAAAGAGAATAGGGGGTGGGAGGGCTGCTGATAATTGCAGGAATTAACAAAACTCTCCAACTTCTCCAATTTTTTTCTGAACTATGTTGAAATTGATTTTTTAGGGTTCCTCCATGCAAACAATGGCCTTCTTTAGTCACAAAGACAGGCATGCAGCCAAAGACCTAAAAAGAATTTTAAAAATAGGAGGTGGAATCTATTCTTACTACTGCAGCACAGAGCAGTATTAAAACGATCATAGAAATATCCGTTTGTTTCCCACCTCTGGGAAAAGGTGATCCCAGAGTATCCCAAAGGGATCGCTCATCATAGATTCCAGTGGCTTGTAAAAAGGTAAGCTGCAAAGGTAAAATTCCAGGAGTTTAATGCGCATAAATTAAAGAGAACCAAGGCTCTTGTCTAAAGCTAGTAAATACAGACTATACAATCTCTCTTCTTAAAGCCTCCCTGCAATGGAGCACCCCACAACCTCTGGAGCCATTCCACTGGTTAATTTCTCCTTCGTTTTAGGCTGAATCTCTCTTCGGTAAGTTTCTTTCTGTTGCTCCTTGTCCTGCCTTTGTGTGCTTTGGAGAAGAGGTTGACCTCTTGTTGGTGGCAACCCCTCAAATATTGGAAGACAGCTATCATGTCACCCCTAGTCCTTGATCTGTTTTCTTCTGATTGTCTACGTAGATGGTTCCTTCGGCTGCTTTGCAGAGTACCACAGAGAGATGTTGTTAACTAATGAAAGATGAGCAGCGGTCAACCTTCTCCAGAACTTTGATGGTCTTCTCCACAAGTTCCACCTCCAATTCTGGAAGAACGATGGATCCAGGAAAGGAGAAGTTCTTCTCTTGTTCTGGAACCGCAAGCTGAGATGAAGCCATCAGATCTCTTAAGGAGGCTGAATCTAGCTAAAAAGCAGCAGAGACGGGTGGAATTATTCCTGTCTTGGGTGTGGTCCTTCCCTTGTGGTGTGGCGGATTGTGTTTCCATTAGCACCCCACCGAAGAGGGTCCCTGTTAGTTTTTTTCCCAACTGGCTTTCTTCCACTCCCTTTGGTAGAGCAGGCTTTGTTTTCCAAAAGCAATGAAAGAAGCTTTTGTTTTCCCGGCCTTATCTTGGATATGCTTGAAACGTTTTTTCCCTTTTCTCCTGGGGTGTCTTTCGGCTTGTGGGAAGGTCAGAGGTGGAAGAAACGTGTGTGTGGTTGTTTCTTTCAGGACGATGCGTCATGCATATTTTCTTCGCTTTCCCCATTTGCAAAAGTTTTGGATGGAAGGCACTGTGTTGAAAAGATGTGACTTCGGCTCCCAGAATTCCCCAGCTTTAAGAGAAGTTGTGGGTCCTCCATCAAAGAAGGTTTCCCTAATTGATTATTCTCACTGTCAGGAAATTTCACCTTAGTTCTAGGTTGCTTCTCTCCTTGATGTTTCCATTTCTTCTTAAAAGCCTCCAGCAATGGAGCACCCACAACTTCTGGAGACAAGCCGTTCCACTTTGGGCTAATCACCAGGAGACGGTGAGTTCTAGTCCTACTTTAGTCATGAAAGCCCTGGGTGACTTTGGACCAAGAACCAAAGAGATGCTGAGTTCTAGTCCCGCTTTAGCCATAAAAGCCAGCTGGGTGACCTTGGCCCAATCATCAGGAGACCATGAGTTCTAGTCCTGCCTTAAGCATGAAAGCCAGCTGTGTAACTTTGGGCCAGTCCCTCTCCCTGAGCCAACCCCCCTCACAAAGCTGTTGTTGTGGAGAAAACAGGAGGATGGAGATGTGTGTCGCTGTGAGTTATTTGTAAAAATCGTAAGGGCAGGATACAGATAAATAAATAAACAAAAACAAGGTTTGCAGCTCTGCATTGGGGAGACTCAACTAAGAGTGTAAGGAAAGATACTAAGAGACACAAGTCTGGAAAGGGCTGAGTTCTGATAACGGGATCAAACAAGGGCAGATAATTTCAGCCAGTGGGAATTTTCATGCCCAAAGCGGGTCATCACATTTGGCCAGAAGCTGTTTCTGCATTTTATGAGCCTACGTTGTTGCTGGCGTCCAGCACCTCCATTTCTATCTTCCTAAACGGTTACAACCCATCGTAAACCTTGAGCAGCTCCAGAGAAATTCGTCTTGAGCTCTCTGCAAACAGCCTCTCCAAATTCCTGGGGAATGGAAGGCATTTCTTTCCTGCAGAAGAGAAGATCTCCAAGGTTTGCAAAGCCGGAGTTTAGATTAGCCATGATGGGAAGGGAGCTTCTCCCGCACACACACCCGCACGTATGCACACACGCACATACACGCAGGCACAAATGTAGGTTATATTGTCAACATCTCTTCTGGCGGGTCTCCCTGGATGCTGGGCTCTTCTCAGATATTGTGACACGCAGATTAAAACGACAAAAAGAAAAAAAATGGGGACTGCAGTTTGCTTGGGGGAAAAAAAATGTGATCTGGAAGCCCGTGGAGTTGCTGCATTGCAAGCCACTGGATGGAAAAGACTAAGATGCTAAACAGGCCTCCTTGCACAGGGAGGATCTAGCCAGGATTTGGGATGCAGGCAACCCTTGGTCCACTCTACAGCACTGAGCCTCTGGCGTGGAGGTAGACGTGTTGTGAAGCAGAAAGGGAGGGCGGTGTACAAAAATCCATTTCTGCTAAGGGGGAGATCCTTGAAGGGCTGTCACCGAGAAGAGGAGGCTGGTTTTTTTCTCTCCAAAGCAGTTTGGTCTAGTGGTTAAGGCCACTAGACCAAAGAAGATGGGGCCAACTGGATATGTTTGTCTAATGAAGAGAAAGATTAAGAACGATATGGTAGCCGTCTTCTGATATTTGCGGGGCTGCACAGAGAAGAGGGGCTGAACCTATTCTCCGGAGGGCAGGACAAGAAGCAACAGATGGAAACTTATCAATGAGAGAGCCAACCTGGAACTGAGCAGAAATTTCCTGACGGTGAGAACAGAACAGAATAACCGAGTTGGAAGGGGCCTTGGAGGTCATCTAGTCCACCACCACCCCGCTCAAACAGGAGATCTTGCACCATTCTGGACAAATGGCTGGGTCATAATAATCCTGGTCAAAGGGTCTACTTTTGAAAAATTCCAGGGATGGAGCACCCACAACTCCATTAACGGAGGTCTTCAAGAAGAGATTGGACAGCCCTTGGTCTGAAATGGTGTGGGGTCTCCTGCTTGAGCAGGGGGTTGGACTAGAAGACCTCCAGGGTCCCTTCCAACCTTGGCATTCTATGTTTCTTCCCCCGCCCGCCTCCTAGCCAGCGTGGCCCGGGCTCCATGCTCCCCGGGAATGCCACCTAGCCACGCTGAGCGGTGAAGCAGGTGTGCGAGGGAGGAAGGGGCAGGAGGAGGAAGCAGGCATGGGGGGCCTGAGAGAGAGGTTGAGGAGGAGAGGATGGGGAACATCAGCTCCAGCTGTGATGGGGAAGGCAAAAGGGGGGCTGGGTGGGTGGGAGAGAAAGTAGGACTGCAAGAACAACAAGAATCCCAGCCTAGAGTGCAGAGGGAGAAGCCTCCGCCTGCTCTGGCTGCCTGCACAGCTCAGCCTTGGCTCATTAATCACCCAGCACACAGCCAGGAGGACGGAGAGGCTGGGCGCCTCCGCCAATCCGGGCTCTGTTGCTGCAGCAACGGCCTTTCGCCTTCGGAGGCTTCAAAAGATTTTCTCTCCCTCCCTCCCCACACACACACCCCTCCTTCGCTTGTTGTGTTGTGCAGGGCCTCTGCCAGGCTCTGTGTGTGTGTGTGTGGCTGAGAGTGCGTGTGGGCAGGCAAGCACAGTTTCCCTGGGAAAGGCTTGGCAAGCAGTGAGGAAGAGGAGGAGGAGAAGGAGGAGTGCTCAGATGATGGGGAGGGAGACAAAGAGGAAGGAAGGGAGGGAGGGAGGGAATGGGGAAGGAAGGAAGGGAAGCTGAGAGAAAGGAAAGGAAAGGAAAGGAAAGGAAGAAAGATGGAGGAAAGAAGAAGGAAAATAGAAGAGGGAAAGAGAGAACCAAGGAAAATATTCTCTGGTATGAAGAACGTTGCCCGTGAATATACATACAGACACACACATACCATTTTTTTCACACTTAGACTGAGTTTCATATACCCACTTGTGCTCCATGAATCCAGATTTTCTTCTCTCTCTCTTCAACTTTCCCAAACAACTTTCAACCAGCAAAGTCAAATGGGGGAAAGTGGATTCGCTTAACGACTGCATGATTCGTTTAACGTCCCTGAGAAAACAGGTGATAAAGTCAGGCGCAAATCGCTTAGCAACCCCATTGCTTAGCAATGGACATGCTGGACACCACTGTGACTGCCACTCAGGGACTATCTGCAGTTTCCAGCTCCAGACTATGTTGCCCCCCCATGACGGTCACCCAATCAAAATCACAGTGATGTCACCGGGCCTTCCTGTTCCTTCTGCGGACAGCTGCTTCGTTGGAGGAAGCAAATCAAGCTAAGTGCTGGATGAAAAACTTAGATTAATTGTCATGCTTGTCTTCCCTTCCTGAAGCATCAGAAATTCCCCTGCATTTTTTTTTTTTTTTTGAAACTCTTTCATGAAAGGAGTTTGCTTTAGAAAGTCAGACAAAGGAGAATAGAAAGGTGGTGAAATTCCCATGGAAAAATGAGATTTATTTATTTTTCCTCTCCCTGTATTGAACCGCCAGGCAGGCAAGGAGTGGTGAGAATCCTGGATGCCCCAATCTGAAAGTTTACACTAAGCGAACGTCACTCGGAGGGACATTGCAAGCCTCAGAGATGAGGTGGGTTGTATCCAACAGGCTCACGTCGATTTAGGATGGGGAAAAAAAAGACTTTCACGCCTAATGTTTGGCAAGCGGTTGAAAGGAGCCGATTGGATCGGCCCGTTTTGATGCTGGATATCCAAACAAAAAATCAACTCAGAATCATCACTTCGGATCAACTCTAGACATCCAATCAACCCCTGGAGAAAACCTGCAGCTGTAGAAGCAGTCCCCGACTTACGACTGTTTGTTTAACCGTCCAGCAGTCGTTAAAGGAGTCTAGCTTCCTCCATGGATTTTGCTTGTCGAAAACCAGCTCTGAAGGTTACAAAACACGAACACGCAGCCCCGGGACACCGCAACCGACATAACTACAGGCCGGTTGCCCAGCATCCGAATTTTGATGCCGCAACAGCCGTGTGAAAACTGGTCCTAAGTCACTTTTTTCAGCACCGTTTTGTAACTCTTAACGGTCACTAAACAAATCAGTTGTAAGTCAAGGGCTGCCTGTTTTCATTCATTCCTGCAGCTTCCCTGGTTTCTCCCTCTTCAGTTGAACAGCACCCCACCCAGGTTTTTTTTTTCTCCAGCAACATTTCAACGTCCAGGCCTTGCAGAAAAAAAGCCAGAGAACTTTGGCTTTTTTTCCTCCCTTGCAGAAATCATCTCTCCAATTTCCCATTGCAGAATGAAAATTAGGAAGAAAGAAAAAAGTTATCTTCAGCCATCTGACTTTCCACCCAATGATCTGTTGCTAGTGGACTTTAAATTCTTTAAGAAGAATTTTCTGGGAGAGGAAGGGAAGGGAAATGTGGGCTAAGAATGCAGAACCGAAGCCACCAAGGTGAGAAAGCTGCTATATTCCCATTTTTTTTAGGTCAAAGAATAATCAGGGAACGGGCTTGAAGGAATGGGCAATGCAGAAGGCTATGATTCAAGTCAAATTCCCTAACAGGGAGGTCAGGTGCAATATCTCCCTGAAACCAAGGTCAAGACAGCCCCGGTGATTATAAAAGACAGAACCGGTCCAAAAGCAGAGGTCAAAATAGGTTGTGGGAAAGAAGAACAGAGGTAGATGGAATCTTTGCTTGAGGAAGGTGTGGACCTGAAGGCTGAAATGTCCAAGGAGACAAAAGTGGAAGGCTGTTGAGAAGGTCGGCTGATGATTAAAGGTTGAAGATCAAGGGTGGAAATGGGAAGGACAGGATGCAACTAAGAGACCCAAGGTGGGATTGGAGGGTGAGCTGATTCTGGAAACGAAAGAAGAAGAAAGAGAAGAGTGTATGAAGCTGGACTTCAGGAAGGACCAACCTCTGTTGACTTCTTTTCGTGGGTTGGCTGGTTTCAACCAAGATGTCCCTCAACTCAGCAATCACCGTCATGATGTTAAGACGTAAGGACTGGCTCAGAGTGAGCTTCTGCACCTCAACGAATGAAACAAGGCTTAGGTTTCTTTAGTTCTTCTTTACTGCTATAAACACTGCACCCCACTCTCAAGGCAGTCCTCAGATTATAATGACACTGGGACCAGGATCTCTGTTGCTGAGCGATCCATGCCTGAGTTTGCTACTTTTTTTTTTTGTCATGAATGTTTAGTGAACGGTGGCAGTTGTTAAATGAATTGCAAACGGTCATTTTGTCATTAAGCAAATCTGTCTTTCCCCATCG